AGAAACATATAACTCATTTAGGTGCTAACCAAAATTGAGTGGATGCATCAAGAATTCACATCCTGTTAACAAATACAAACCACTTTGATATATATATATATACATACACATTTAAAGAGGTCCACGTACTCCGTGAAATCTGAAATGTGCATCTCTGTCGAGTTGAGACAGCATGTTCCGACTACATAGCGCTTACAATACAGTGCTTGAGAAATTTGCATGGATCTATTTGCTGCAGCAGCAAGTGTGGCTTCATTTAACTGAAGATTGGAACTTCGGCATCACCGGTTGAACTTCTTGTGTGGTAATGCCAATGAGGTTGTTGTGGCTGATTCAAGCTGTAGTTGCACTGGTTGGTTGTTCCCTTAGTTTTCGTGTCCTCCAACCTGAGAGAATAAAATTAGCCTTGTGAATATCTGTCGTTGCAACAAGAACACCAACACCATTGTTCTCATGACAAAATGAAACTTCATCATTTGACATGTATAAAAATGCAAAACCCTACACGCACAGAAAGTTTGTGTGCACAAAATGCAGCAATTTGTACATTTTGTGAGACATTGGTGGATACTGTGTGCGTAAACTTTTATGCACATATCATTGCTGATGCAATTGTATTTAACATGAAGGAAAATAATAAATGATGCAATAGAAAATTTTAAGAGAAGTAAAGATGACAACATGAGCTTCAGGAAGAGGATAATAAAACAGGTTATCCTGATTGCCAAATTATGACTATTTTCGTAGATCAAGGTATCTCTCTATTCTCTCTCCCCCTCTCTATCAATGCACCTAGTTTTGATTTCTCCACTCTTACACCCCTAAGCATGGTTTGTATTGGATCAATTTTGTCGTAAATCAAGACCAATGAATCAATTCATCACCTACAATTCCATAAAATTTGAAACGAAACCAATCTATAAAAAAACAAAAATTTTCAGATTTAAATAATAGACCTATACAACAGATTTGTCATAAATAATTAACATAAATAAATATTTTATGCTTTAAAATTAACAAACATGTTTTTGGGATTTTATTTTTTAAAATTTTCAAACATTTTGTTCGATCCAAATGTGTTTGTAGTTTTTGTTTTTGTTCTCTGGTGTAAAGAGCTCCTACAAACCCTGAAGAGTTTAACCTCTTGTACTAATCAATGATGAGAAATAGGTTAAAGCTTTCACATACTGTCAATCCATCACAGACAATGCACAAAATCTGATAATCTATTAATCAATGATGAGAAGTATGTTATAGCCTGGAAATAAATTTCACATTAATTCATATATATATATATATACCTACCCTTACAAAAATGTATGCTTACATGAGAAATTGCAGTGTTCATGGGATCAATAAAAACACTATACAAATTTATGGATTGAATTGATTTGGAAAAGTAAAAAAGGATTTGTATCATCTATTGAATCTGAACTGTAGATTACCTCCCACTGCCAATGGTCTGCAAGCACATCAAGCAGGATATCAGCAATTCGGAGCTCTCTTCAAATCCCGTTGCCAATATATCTATCACCCAGTCCAGCATAAAAAAAAAAAAGCAAAACAGAAATTCTACCACTAGTCAATTCCAGGCGGCGTTTTTAAAAACGCCGCCAAATGTCCTATCCTAACTATACTACGACGTCACTATAACATTTAGCGACGTTTTTTAAACGCCGTCAAAGACATTTACACATTTTAAAAATCTAACCGTTGGGATAGGGATATAGTGACGTTCAAAAAATGCCGCCATAGCCTTTATTTTTATTTTTATTTTTTTTAATTTTTGAAGTGGTGCTAATTTTATATGGTTGAAAAAAATACCTGTCATAAACAATTATTAAAAACTAATAATTTATGTAGGTTATCCTGATTGCCGTATCTCTCTGTTCTCTCTCCCCCTCTCTATCAATGCACCTAGTTCTGATTTCTCCACTCTTACACCCCTAAGCATGGTTTGTATTGGATCAATTTAGTCGTAAATCAAGACCAATGAATCAATTCATCACCTACAATTCCATCAAATTTGAAACCAAACCAATCTATAAAAAAACAAGCATACAAGAGAAAGAATCAAACAACACTTCTCAATAATAGAGGTTTCTTATGGGAATGGACAATTAGCTAATTAATTTGTTGATGCCTAAAAGTGATGTTACTTTAACAATCCAGACCCACCAGCCCAAAAACAAAAAAGAGAAAAGTGAAGACCTGGTTAATAATATGTTACATATCAATGCCATCAGATTTAATATTCTTAACATTCTACAGCTGTAGATCACATTGTAAGCGGTTAATACTGAACTAAAAAGGCATAGTTATAGAATTTGCCATACCAAGAAGAAAATGAAACCAAAATTGACCACGACAAGGCCCTAAGGGAAGCATTATCGAACCATTTAAAGACAAAAAAATCAAGGATGACGTATCTGTATTACTATGCCTCCAGTATATAACCAAAATACAAGTATGAGGAATTTAATGGGACAGGGAAGTTGACCTAGTGGTCCATCTAGTTGTCCCTGGTCAATAATTTATTACACTTTTTCAATGAATATAGCATGAATTGATAACAAAAAAAATAAAATAATAATAATAATAACTAAAAGGTATTGTTTCAAAACACAACAATCTAGGGCTTCCTTTACCGTTCGAACTTAGATCTCACAACATAGTCAGGCAAGAGGAGAGTTGATCCAAACCCTAGGTGAAGAATAGATGGAAGGAAGAGCTTGAGAGAGAGAGAGAGAGAGAGAGGATACGAAACTGAGATTGTAGACGGTGGTGCTCACCGAGCTGAAGAAGGTTGAATCGTAATCTCTGAGACCGAAGGGTTTAGAGAGAGAGAGAGAGAGAGAGAGAGAGAGAGAGTGAGAGATTTGAGAGATCAATAATGAAGTTTTGAAGAAAGAGAGAGGTTCTGATTCTCAGAGTTGTGGAGAGAGTGGGAGTGGGATAACATGGTAGACATTTGAAGGCGTTCAAAAACGACTTCTATTAATAAACGGTACCGTTTTAATTAAATCAAAATGCGACGTTTATAAAGCGTCGCTAAATATTAGAAAAAGTGATGTTTATAAAAACGCCATTAAATAAACGCCGCTAAATCCCATTTTTCCTGTAGTGTCAACCATAGGGTTTCACAAATTCATTGCATTCCCAATATGTTTGTATGATTAACAAAGCTCTATATGGCCTTAATCAAGTCCGTCAACCTTGATTTTCTGCTTTCTCCTCTTTTCTTCTCAATTGGTTTCACCAATAGTCACTGTGAGTCCTTCACTTTCTGTTCAGAAGACTTCTTCTACAATGATAATTCTTCTCATTTATTTTGATCACACACTTATCACCAGGAATGATTCAGCTCATATTGCCTGATTGATTTCTCACATGCACTCCGTGTTCTCAATGAAGGAGTTATAGGGACATTTACTATTTTTTGGGCATTTCAGTAGAGTCCTCTGATTTTGGTTATTTTTGGTCCCAACAAAAGTATGCCATTGGAATGATAGTCCCTAAGCATGAATTGTGATTTTATAACTAGCTATTGTTAATTATCCCAAGTGTCAAAGCCAATTGATTACTTGTTTGCATGAGCCCATCTATCTTGCTAGCATACATGTCATGTGTGTTAATGATATACAAAGTCGGACATTATAGAAAATTTTAAAATATATTCAACAGACAAGACTTCTTTTTCCTAAACATTCAAATGAATAGGCAAAAAAAGTAGAGAGAAAAAATGAAAGAATTAGTAAAGTTCAATGTTTCATATCTTTGTAGAAGCAAAAACAAGGTCAACATATGCAATGCACATTTCAAACATTTTTCTGTACCTGGCGGACAACAGCTGATGTCACTTCTGAGAAGCTGAGGTCAGGATACGGCATGTCACAGCAGTATATCTCCCAGAGGCAGATACAAAAACTATATACATCGGCATGTCAACGTGAATGACTACTTTGAAAGCTAGTTTCCTTCTTCTGTTTTTGATAAGGAAAGATTTCAGTGCACCCCCAGGAAGATATTCAACAACACAACAAACATTTCTCGGCATGTCAACGTGACCAGTGTCTGTCTATATGTTTAGCTCAGACGTACCCATTGTAGCACCTATGAATTGAAAAAGTGATCCAGCATGAAAATGGTGAGGGCGTTTTCCAAGAGAATAAACAAAAAAACATGCAAGTATTAGACCCATTTTGAAACATATATTACTGTGCCTGATGAACCTAGACACCCAAGTCAGTTTTCATAAATTTTCAATGTCCCCATGTCATTTACCTCGTGTCCTTTTAGGGATCACCTCCTTGTTGGTATTCTTGTTAGAAAGATTAAAACAAATAGATACAAGGGGATTAAGGTTTGACCTTGAGAACTAAATACCAATTGTTTATAGTCTAGGAAACACATGCTGCAGCTGTGACTTCCTACATCACTGCTCCCTCCGTCCCATTTTGTGTGCTACTTGACAATGCACAAAATCTTAAAGACAGAATCTTTGAACCATAAATTTACAAAAAAAAAAAATATCCTTGCTCATTCGAATAAATCTTTTGGGATTGTGCATGTGTTTAAACATAAATGTAAAGAAGAGATAATATAAGAAGGTAATGTTAAAATCGTTTTTTTTCTTGCCAAACCAAGACACATAAACAACAAGACTTCCAAAAATCATTAAGACAGACACAAAGTGGGACAGTGGGAGTACCAAACAACTATTGTTTCAATTCTCAACATGAAGTAGAGATAAGTTCATGAATATAGATCTTTCATGAATATCCCACATGGAATAGCAGATAAGTTCCAATAACCCTCATGCATCACCTTCCTGTAGTTTCATTCATAGTTGGATGGTAAAATCCAAAACTATGATTCTACCTTAAATTACAACCTTCAAGAAAAATTATTAGACTATACCCGCTAAGGGATAAAACCTAGATCAATCAACACCAACATCACTAACCACGAACTTTATAAAAAATAAAAAATAAAACCCAAAAAAAATTCAACAGCCATTTTGTAGGAGAAAGATTAGAGTACAACTATTCAAATTTGTTTTTCATTATTTCTAATTCTACCAGGCCTTATTTATGACTGCTCGAGCAGGTGTTTTCCTAGTTGCTAATGGATGAGACAATACAAACTTCAGATATTTATATGAAGAAGGTACCCTGTTTTGTCTCTTCACCATATGCATCTGGTCACCCATCTCTTTGCGGCGTTTCCGCAGAGCTGCATTGTGGAAAAGCCTCCTGTCATCCTCATGCTTTACAGCTGCAGCCGCAGCTCTCAGAGCTGTGGACAAAAAATAAACAATGTGGGTTGGAACATGGAATGTAAAAGACAGATAAGAAGCTAGCCAAGAGAGAGAGAAAGAGAAAGAGATGATTAGGGAAAGCTAGAAATCAAAGAGGAAAAAAAATGGATTTAAAAAGAAAAACTGAAATGTACCATAGTTAGGGATCAAAGAACTGGTGTCAATTTCTGCACTGCAGAGGTTACACCTTGACTGTGAGAAGACAAATAATTAAGCTCCATTACATTGGATAACTGATCATTCTTCACGCAAGTATCAAAGAGACCTCTACTTGTGAACACAACATGAAGGGGATCTATTCAACAAATTTCTCAATAATTATAATAGATGTGACATAAGATAGATATTCATCTAACAATTAAGGAGCCAATTTCTTCCAACAATTGCCAAATACATCTCTTATTTGTCAACATAACACAAGCGCTCTATTTATCAAATTTCTCAAGAATTAAAACAGACAACACACAATATGCAGCTAATAGTTACAGAGCTAATTTCTTTCGAAGTTACTTTTTTTTTGTGGTGAAAGTACCTTTCACCTCCTCTGGTTTGGCCCAATTTTACATTTTCACCCTCGGATTTCAAAATGCAACATACCCATTGCTGTGAGGAGCAAAGTATCATTTTTAACATGGGTACAATGACCAAAATGTCGTCTTGTTCATTCCATTTTCTTTGCATTTCAATGCCTTCTTTTTATCTTCATGGATGATTTCAGGAAACAGTTTAAGGAAACATATCTGAATATTAAATATTTTGCGGTTATTGGAAAGATGGGTGGAGATAAATGGAAACCTTTCGTGGAATTTGTAATTTTTCTATAGATCCTTGATACTTTGTAATTTTAAAAACATATGTATCTATTGCAATACAAATCATCAATATTCTATATATCAATGGATACATTGTGAGATTTTACAAATTGTGTTCACAATCCAAACTTGCATGATACATATATTGTAGCAAATATGACGAAATATACCAAAAGTAAAAATGGGGAAGCATTAATATAGCTTTGTAGGATCGCAATAGAGTTTGAGTAGATCTTTCTGTTAACTCTATGAAGGCCAATTTGTACATATTTTGAAGTCATTAAACCCTTAAAAATAAAACTACGACCATTAACAACAAATAACAACAAAAAACAACATTCAGAGCAAATAACATGTGCAATTATCAAAATAAATTGCTTAGAGACTGATACTTACGGTCTCTAAGACCTTCCTCAGCAGTTGACCACCAAATGAATGCCCACATGATACAACCGTAGCATCTTCAAGGAATGCACCACTGAGGAATGAAGAAAACAAATAAAAAAAGAGGAAAAATAATTAAGTTCATATTATCCTCTAAAGTGACACCAAATGAATTTGTTGTCATGCAGAGAAATAATTTAATAGATAATAATTGATTGGTAAATTTTTTAGAATTGCTTTGCAATCAATTCTCAAAATAGTATAAGAAACAATTTTCCTCAATCCAAAGATATATTCCTCTGGAAATGCAATTTTTCATAAACTAAGGCATGTGCAAATCCAATTCAAAAGCTGCTTCTCAGATAGATACCACAGAAGTTAGTATAGAAATATAAATTCTATTCTTCCTATCCTAATAGAACCAAAATTAGACACAATATGAGTAGTCATAAGTTAAGACAACTTCAGAAGACTAGGACTAGGGCTCTCTATAATTGGTTTCATGGGAGGCTAGGTTTGCAAAAGTCAGCAAGTCAGGGGTTTATACGGTAGAGGAAAGGTTTTAAGTTTTCTATCTCAAAAAGGAAATAATCAGCTCAATTTAGAAAGTGTATAGTGGCAGTATTGCTGGAAGATCCGAACAACAGCAATAACTACGGAGAGGGAAATAATCCATACTTCCTAGAGAAAGAGCCAGACAACTTTTCCTCAACAAGATGAGCAGAATGAGTAGAACGTCCGCCATTGTGATCACCATCTGAGAAAACTAAATAATCAACTAAGTCCAAAAATGATCTCAAATCCAACAAATCCAACAAATGATCTCAAATCCAACAAATGTCATAATCACAAGCACATTTGGCATTTTCTCAAAACAAAAACACAACATATTAAGGAAGAATGACAAAGCAAACAAAAGAAGAAATTGAATAGGTTTTCCAAGAAAATAAATACCAAATCGAGAGAGACGGGAAGGAAGAGCTTGAGAGAGAGAGAAATCGATACCTCGCTGGAGCTTCGAAATCAAGAGAGAGAACTTCAAAATCGAAATCGCTTTGAGATGAAATCACTGAGACTGATCTGAATCTTTGAATCTCAAAGACGAATCTCTGAGAGGGTTGACAGAGAGAGAGATCTAGAGAGAGAGACTGCTCTGGCGCTTCGAAATCGAAATCGCTCTGAGATGAAATCACTGAGACCGACTGAATCTCTGAATCTCAGAGATGAAACTCTGAGGGTTGATAGAGAGAGATCTAGGGAGAGAGAAAGAGAAACACCGCTGTGGGGCTTCGAAATTGAAATCGCTTTGAGATGAAATCACTGAGACTGATCTGAATCTTTGAATCTCAAAGACGAATCTCTGAGAGGGTTGACAGAGAGAGAGATCTAGAGAGAGAGACTGCTCTGGCGCTTCGAAATCGAAATCGCTCTGAGATGAAATCACTGAGACCGACTGAATCTCTGAATCTCAGAGATGAAACTCTGAGAGGGTTGATAGAGAGAGATCTAGGGAGAGAGAAAGAGAAACACCGCTGTAGAACTTCAAAATCGAAATCGCTTTGAGATGAAATCACTGAGACTGATCTCTGAATCTTTGAATCTCAAAGACGAATCTCTGAGAGGGTTCACAGAGAGAGAGAGATCTAAAGAGAGAGAGACTGCTCTGGCGCTTCGAAATCGAAATCGCTCTGAGATGAAATCACTGAGACCGACTGAATCTCTGAATCTCAGAGATGAAACTCTGAGAGGGTTGATAGAGAGAGATCTAGGGAGAGAGAAAGAGAAACACCGCTCTGGAGCTTCGAAATTGAAATCGCTTTGAGATGAAATCACTGACACCGATCTAAATCTCTGAATCTCAAAGATGAAGGATGAATCTCTTAGAGGGTTAACAGCGAGAGATCGATCTAAAGAGAGAGAGAGAGAGACACCACTCTGGAGCAACATCGGGAGATGAAGAAAGAGGGTTATGAGAGAGGCGAGATTTGAAGCCGTGAGTATTCAAAATAAGGGTTTACATAGGCTTTAACAATTATTTGCAGATTCAAAAGAGGCGTGTGAGGTCTAACGCATTTGGAGGCGTGTCTCAACGCCTTCTATTACAAAACGGCACCATTTTATTTACAGAAATATGCGACGTTTTTAAAACGCCGCTAAATATTACGAAAAGCAACGTTTTAAAAAGTGTCGTTAAAAAAACGCCGCCAAAACCTATATTTCTTGTAGTGACAAATTAGAAGTGTGTTCCAATAAAGCCTAGAACTCGCTTCAATAGGAGATGTTGTTGCCTTCAACAATCATCTCTGCTTTTTGAGATGATTGTTGCCTTGCCTTCTGGAAAAATATGACAGCCTAGGATACTAGTACGATTATAATGCCTTTTCCATGGACAAAATTAAAAAAAAAAAAAAGAAGAAAAGAATTTGGTTCAAGGTGCAAATAGATAAGCTGGCGCCAAATATCTGGCAACTTATGGCTCTAGATAGAGATGAATGGTGAAATGTTTATCAATGTTTGATATTATCAGAAACTGATAGAAAAAGAAGCAAATCTTGGAACCCACATCAAGGGGGTAGCAGGTGAAAATGTTATGAATAATCAAATTCCAGAGCTGAAGCATATTACCATTATCGGACATAATAAAGTAATCATTTTCCACATAAAACATATTCTGGCTTCATTACTAACTAAATATGAATTCCAACCCATAGTAATATTGAAGTTCTATATTTAAGATTGACTAAAGGAGGAAGGTTTGCGTCGGGTCAATATGCCATAATATTTGAGAAACACAGGAAAATACAAAGCTCAAAATTCTACTTTATTTTCTCATCAGCAACCAAACAGAGGAGGGGAAATTTTAAATTCTACTTTAAAATTGCACTTTGACCAACATTGTTGTGCCCTAAGCAGAAAGTATCAAAAGTGGTATGTGAATGGTGGTTGTGTTGTGTGTATTTTAAACTCATCAAAATGAAAAACAGTCACGGGTTACGGTAGAGTTTCTCTCCTTTGAGGTCAGTGGAGATCCTGCTGTTTCTGTGTCTCTCTTTGTTTCTTTTGTATATAGGCTCAGACAAAACAGAGCATTATATAGAAAGAATAATGCTTGGGACCCCCTTTTGGGGGTCACCCCCTCACCCCCTTTTGCCACGTGGCGGGTGGTGATTGGAGGAGCAGGAAAAAAAAGAAAAAGAAAAAGAAAATGTAACCAATGAGAGAGAGGGGGTCAAAGGGGGTGGGAGGAAAAGGGGGATGAATCATTGTTGATATAGAAAATAGAAAATTGGTTATTGGGCCCCACCCTGCTTGGTATCTATCTTGCATTTTATACACACAAATGTATATTGACAAATGATGTATAAATTTCTTATAAAAAACTATGATGTTGTCTCCTCAATGATATTTTTAAAAAATATGAGGATAATATTGAATGTTTTGGTGTGAAATGAAGGGATTTAAAGAAGTTATTTTATTCTGTATGAAAATTTTATACAAAATTTTTGTTTCTATATCATTATTTATGTATAGTTTTTTGAATTTTTTTAGGCTAAAATAGCACTAAAAAATAAAATAGGTGAAAATAATTAATAAGAGAAAATATCACATCAAATTCATAATCATTTCATTTTTACTTTTACAAATATTACATCCAACTATGAAAAAAATAAAACTATCTTCCTAAACAAAAAAATTTTAGTCTCTTAAAATAGTCAAAAACTAAAATAATTTACTAAAATAATAACTTTCCAAACAACGACTATGTGTTGTTTGCTGGAGCAATCTATGGTATGAAATTTGACATTGAGAGATTTATAGCTGGCAATCTATAAAGTTCACTTGATTTGTTGAATTTAGTGTAGTTGATTCACTTTATATGTGAGATTTTTTTATAGTTGGCTGATTTGAAATTTCTCTACTTGACTGGCGGGGAAAAAAATAAAATCATAGGCTATGTTTGAATGTCTGATTTATGGAAGGATTTTTACTTCATTTTTTATCTCTCTTTTTTTTTTTTGGCCCTTTTCGTTTACATATTGCCTAAAATGATTATTCTCATTTCTTATCCTTTTTTTAAAAAGAAAATTGAAAATACATTGATAAATAAGTTTTTTATTTTTAATTTTGAAAACAAGTGCAATTAATAAATCTTGTAAAATTCTATCAATCAATATATTGTGTCAAAAAGTATGTATTTTAGTCAAAAAGTATATATTTTAGTCAAAAAGAAAATATTTCACTTCATTAATCTCATAAAATAAGCTTCTTAAAAAAAAAACTAGGAAAAATCACGCACAAGTGAAATCTTTCAAAAATAATCATCATTCCATGAAAAGTTTATAATTTTAATTATTATTTTTTAAAAAAAAGTTTCTATTAATCTAAAATTACTTTTACAAACTTCCACTGATTTGTTGTTTCTCTCTAAAGAAGAAATAAAAAAGAGAGCAGAGTTTGCAACATATATTTTAGGATCCGCTCAACTCGATTGAACTGATCCAATCTGATTAATTTTTGGCGGATTCGTGTTGTTTGGTGGACGAATACTGATGACATATTTCAAAATTCACAGATATGATTTTGATGGTGGATCAACCATCCCACACCCGTATAAACCCAATCTGCCCATAGTTGAAGTTCAAAAAAAGAAAAGAAAAGAAGAAATAAACTACTAACAAGTAACGACATAGAATAGAAATAATAAAATATGTATTTTTGTGAAAATGAAAAACAATACCTTAAAAATATGTATATGTAGTGCCATGGCCAATTATAAACAAATAATATATATTTTTTCATATTACTAGTTATTAGAAATTGTAAAAGTTATGAATTATAATTCAAAAAAAGTTCAAAATTTCTAAAGTCTAAAAACCGCTAAACCAGTTGCATCCATTTGCCAACCCGCACGGGCCGCTTAATCTGCATCCGCTAAATTGATGGACGGATGTGAATTGATTTTTTTCAATCTGTCTAATTTTAGACGGATAATGAATGGGATGCGATCCAATCCGACATGACCCGATCCGTGATCACCCTAATATATTCTCTCCCTGGGTCGACCTACCCTGCCGTTGGCCTTTTCTTGGCCCAAGTGTTTGAAATATGTTTTGGCAATGGCTTGGGCCTACATAGGCTTGCCCACTCAAATGTTTTTAGGCTTGAGTAATAGTTTAGCGAGCTTGGTTAAATTTGACCTAGTCCTAGCTTGTGATACTTTTTTTCTTGAGATAATATTGTTTTAATAGGAAATGATATTTTCATACTTTGCTTAAATGCCTCTCACATCATACTCCTCTTGTGGTTACAAAATATTATTGGACGGGGTACATGACCATGCAATTTTTCAAACTCGTGATAATTTATGTTTATTGTATGGGGCAATATTGCAAAATTTGCAAGAGAAATTATATGAGAGATTAAAAGGAGGATGTGAATATTATTTTATTTTTTTATTCACACACAAACATATATATATATATATATATATATTGTGTATAGCATTAATTTAATACATAAATTGTCATATGGTCATCACGTAAACCTCAATTTTTTTTTCTTGTAATTTAGGTTGGGCTCATGTATTCACAATCAATTTTATTTTAGATTGTTCATTTTATAAATTCTTGTCTATATATCATGATCAATAAAAAAATCAAAATGATTGAATAATTTGAGTATTGGTGTGGTGTCGGCCAAAGACCTTCAGATGCCTTTATAAGTGGTGTAGTTGTAGAGAGAGAAAGTAGAGATTGAGAGTTTAGGGTTTGGGTGCATACCTTGATATTTTTATAGAGGGTATTTGTCTTGGGTCATTGATGATGTTGGGCCTCAATCTTGTTGGGCCTTGGGCCATATGGGTTGAGTAAAAAAGATGAAAAACAAACCAATCAACTCAATAACAGATGATGAATCGCTTTGGGGTTCAAATGCAATGCACAATTGGGGGATTCTATTTGAACTCAAAATATATTTTTGTATGCTAGATCTAAATTTATAAATTTTAATTCATATTATATCTTAATATGAATTTATTAATAAAGACAACACATATTAAATCCTAAAATAAAAAACAATTCCTACCTTAATCAGTTATTCCTATTCAAATCTCTATATCTTCTTTCCCAAGAGATTAAAGTTATTTCTTCTTCTTCTTCTTCTTCTTTTTCTTCTTGTTCATCCTCCATCCAAAACTACAATCCACCTTATCAAAACTCACCATCATTATCAACATCATTATTTTTTTATTATTTTGAAACCCTAAACCCTAGAAAAAAAGTTTGAACAAAATCAAATAATGGATGAGAGTAATAATCAAAATAGTTTTTTGAAGCAACCCATCAAAAAGAAGGTAAGTATTCACATAAAGGGGTTTCAAAATTTTTGTAGAGCACCATCAATTATTTTTTATATCGTTTTTTGGAAAAAATTAAAAGGTCTAGTAGTTAGATTAACAATAACATATTATTGGTGTTGCTCTTATTTTGTCATTTAAATAGTACATTATTTGAGAACTACTTTTTTTTGTTAGTGCCTGATA